TGCAATAATGCAATTAATAGGCTCGGCTATGGCATATGGATCGATTTGAACAACATGCGATTAATCACGTATTCAAAGAAGTATTGAAATGACAATGCAGTTTGAATGATGCGCCGAGCCTCGGTGCATGCAAGACAAATAAATGGATGCAAGCATGTGATATGCTAATTGAAATATGTCCCTAATCTAACCACCAAAAGCGATTAAATAAAAGGGAGAAAGACGTGGGGTTGGAAAACATACACACACGCACGCACACTTATTACAACATTATGCCCTCGCGAAGGAGGGTCTGAATGAAAAAGCTAAGCTAATCTAAGCTATGCTAATTAAACAAATTAGACTAATTATTACAACACTTTAATCAACTAGTAAACTAATTAATTAAAACAAATGCACACTAACTGAGCATGCAAGGCATTAAACTATGCTGCCACTACTCTGCCTCGAGAAATGGAAGATGCATGCGCTCGGTTTTCGCCTCAAAAAGCCTTCTATTTTGCTCTTAAGAGGCTCTGTTTTCAGGGTTAAACACACTTCAGAACCTTTATACTCCACCTGACCAATTCCTTGTTGAGGGTTACGCTAGTGGCCTACCAGCCATGGATGGTTACTACCGGCCACCTGCCGGCCAAAAATGAAGCCTTGTCGGCCATGGATGGGACCTTGCCAGCCACTGATACTCTAGGTCACCACACTGCAACAAAACACAAACAGAGCAAAATGAAGGTTTTTCCAAGAGTTTGTTTGTACTGTACCCCTCCTTATCATCTCAAAACCTCAAAGGAGTGGCACATTTGGATCCAAAACCACTAATCAAGCAAGTTCATTGCATGATGGCCAAAGATCCAAGTTGTACACTTTTGATAAATGCACAAATAAGACTCGAAGGACCATCACTCTGTCATGCATTATCAAGGGCAATGGAGACCAAGGAAAATGGCACATTTCATCACTATTGAGTATGAAATGTCTCATTTGCCTTGTGTTCAAACTAACGTCCGATTTGAATACATGCAATGCAACACAAAGAATGTTTATCTTGCCTCTTTTACTTGCATGTTTTGTTTACACTTTTTTAAATTACCGAACCATTCATAATCCATTTAGTCCATTGGGTGAGTGTTCTTTAAATGGAAAGAAAGCTCAAACGAAAGGTTGTTTTAGGTATGAAAGAGAGTTCATGCAATTGGTAATGAACCCCCAAAGGGATTAAATCATTGCCTCAATTTCATACTTTAAACAAACAAGTGGTTTAAACTACTTTCAAAGCAAAATAAAACCAAGAAAGGAGGGAGGTTGCAGAGGTGATTAAGTGCTGGAAATGAGTACTGAAAGCACTAAAACATGCAACCAACTCAAACCAATGACAATTAAAACCTTAAAACACTAAGCTAGTGAAGGAATTAACTCTACAACCATACAAAACAAGCCTCAACTGAACTAATCAGCCCAAAATAGAGCCAAAACAAGTCATTTCAAAGGCAAAAGCATGCTGGACTCAAGCCACAAAAAGCTAAAATAATAAGCTAACATGTGAGGCTAACTAGGCATGCAAGCAAGACACAATGAGGGGAGGCTAACCCCTCCAATTTTGGACTTCAAAATAAGGTTTTTGCTACTGAAAAATCTCTAAGATTCGGTGGTTAAAAGGCCCCAAAAAGTTGATTTTAAAGTGATGAATAATAGCACAAAAGCTTAGCGAACAAAGAGGCAAGAAGGGTGGACCACCTCCTAACTAAAAATGGCCTCAAACCATCATTTTAAGGTCATAAAGACAAAGGTTCTTTTAGTTCAAAACCAACCTCAAAACAATTTAAACAAATGAGAAAACAAGCATGCTAAGCTAGTGAACAAAGCAAGTAAACTACCTCTTGAAGCAAAGAACAACTCTAGACACAAATCCAAGCTAAAACCACTTACTAGAGCTCAAATCAAGTCTCAAGGAACCTTAGCCCAAAGAGAAGTAACTTCTATCAGGGAAGTGTATGCAAAAGTGTAGAGAAAACAAGCTTCAAGGCACAAAATTGTAAGAGAGAGAGAAATCTAGAGAGAGAGAGAGAGAATCTTTTATCTTCAAATATTTCTAACCCCCCCACATGCAAGAGAGGGGTCCTATATATAGAAAATACAAATTCCCCTCACAAAGATCCAGCCACACACGTGTTGGAAGATGCATGAACCTGTACAAACAGCTGGCACAAAATATCACAAAATATCTGCAGGAAACAGTGATGGCTGGCCAGCCATCAGTGATGGCCGGCAAGGCACATCAATGGCCGGCGAGCCATCAACAACCTCATTCTGAAAAGACCTAAGCATGGTCCAAAGATGAAGCAAAAAGGATGCAGTGTTTGGAAAACTCAAACCTATGGCGTTCAACCGCGGACTTCGAGCGTTCGGTGAGCAATCAGACTCGCCATCGGATGTATCTACAAGAACATCCAAGTCTTAAAGGGCCGTAAATAATGGGGTGTCTACACCTTTGCAAACATACACTATTGAAGGAGTGAAGAAGATGGCAAGCGATGCAGCTGTAGTGTGCCATAAGCAAAACTATGCGTACACGATGTTTTATTGCCACAAGACACAAACCACAAAGGCGTACAAGGTTTCAATGGTAGACGTCGATGGAACGAAAGCAAAAGCAGTTGCAGTGTGCCATACCGACACATTGGATTGGAATCCGAAACACTTGGCCTTTCAAGTGCTCAAGGTCAAGCCAGGGACTGTGCTTGTTGGACTACTACTGGAGGAACAAACACAGGATTTGGTGGAATCCCATGTGCTTGAGATCCTCTTGGTCCATAAGGAGGTATATTCAGGGCTAGCTGTCCCTGTGGTACTGGTTGTTGTTGGGAGTATGGTTGAGCCCTCTGGGCCTATCCTGTGAAAGGTGCTGCAATAGGAGGAACATGTGTTGTTTCTCTCCCAGCCGCAAGAAACCCTTCCAACCTCGCGGGTGTGAATTCGAACAGAGGGTTAGTGAACCCCCTTATGCCAGGCATGGTTTCGAACATGGGATTTGGAAACATTCTCATGCCATTTTCTTGTGTTGGCCCAGATCTACCAATTTGTATGGCTTCGCTGCTAGATAATGAGATATTTTGATTTACCAAAGGTCTCGATGGAGGCTCATACCATGACTGAGGTACAGGTGATGGTCTTTCATAATTTTGATTACTAGTCTGACCATTAGTATGTTCATTAATTTGCATAAGCTATTTATCTCTAACCAATCTTTGCTGAAGGACATTTGAATTTTCCTCCATATGCCTTGTGATAGTTGGTTGATGGGAATTCATTTGATCCATGAAGGATGTTGCCTATCTTTCCATTGTATACATTAACTGCTGTCCCATGGCATCTACCAAGCCTCCCACGGATTCATTGGCTGGGTAGACGGAACGGTGGATGGTCCAATTCCATGGCCTCATCCAATATTTTGAACATGTGATGCATGCTCTGAGGTGCTAGTTTGTTCAACCATAGATTCTAATGAGATAGGTGCTTCCATAGAATGTGTTGTCATATTATCCTCTAGATCAGCTACTTCTACCTCTCCCTCCATACCTTCTTCCAAGCATTCATTTTCTCTTTGTCTCCTACGCCTAGCCATTTTAGTGTCTCACTGGGTGTGCCAAAAATATATGTTGGCTTTTTTGGATTTCGAAGGTTAATAATGTAAATTTAAGCATGCCAACAACGATCGATTAGCCCTTACAGAATTTATAATTACCAGCCAATTATCAAACGATTGTGTTGTAGTTCTTTCAGCCTCAATGAAGAGGACTTTTACTGGTGGCTTGTTTAGGAGAAACTACTAAATAATAATGAGTGAAGAACAATTTCAGAATCTGAATTTCATTAAGTAAATGAAAATTTACATTGATCTGACCTAGCCTCGTAGAGGTTTAGAGTAACAAACTATTTGAAACTACTTCTAGGAAATGAAATGCAGTATAGGAATTGAAGTGCAGAAATGTAAAAAAACTATAAAATTGAAAGGAAAATGAAGTAAATAAACTAATTTTTTGATCTGAGTGTGGGACATCATTCTAGGGCATTCCTTGCTATTTATACTTCTCAGTGGTAACCGTCGAAGTGGGCTTTCAACCGTCGAAATGTCCTCCCATGATTGTTGAACATGCTCTCCACAGTCAGTCCCACTACGCCACTCTTGCAGTTAGGCTTCCCTCCTGATTTTGAATTTAAACTTTATGAGTAACCATTAGGCCACATCATCATGTATCTCTCGATTGTTCTAGTGCTACACAGATCCATTATTACCAATACGAACTGCCACGTGTCTGACTTGATTGGTAACTTATATTAACTCCCCAAATTGCCCTCTTCGTACCACATGTTAAATTGTGATTAGCTTTTACAAATTATACGGCCAACAATTACCATACAACTCACCTATTTATAAGTAAGAAGACCCTTACTATGCAGCACTATGCTGCAATATGCAGCACACCACATGGTACCACTTGGCACCATGCTTCCCATGAGGTTTCTTAAAAATTATTTGCACAAGTTTCACTATGGCCCAAAAAAATATTATAATTTTTTTTTTCTTTCAAAATTAAGTAAATATATTTTGAGTGTCACATACATAACATTTTTTAAAATGCTATTAATAAGTATATTATGCATGGCATGCCCAAAACAGCATGCTATAATCATATAAGGGGTATACTCTCAACACCACCACCTATACTCTTAACCCCCACCAAAACCTAATAAATTTGGTGATTGTTTGTTATGGAACTTGAACCAAAAAGTCCAATTTGTTAAGAGAGCTACATACCAAATTTTCATAGATTCACTTCTTCAATCCAAGAACATAGTCATTACTTTGCTTGGACTGTAATGCACCATACATCAGTTGTCTCTCTCTCTCTCTCTCTCTCATAGGTGTACCCCAGGTAACCTCCCACAGTACCATTTGGCATAATTATATTTAATGCATGTTGCTTTCGGTGCAACAGAGAGAGAGAGAGGTCTACACTCTTTTAAGTCCTAACACTAACACAATCTCACCTCTCTTACTTCCAAGTGTAACTAGCTATACTAAATAAGCTTTCTTTCTCTTTCATATCATAGTTTTCTCTTCTGCAACTTTCCATGGAATTCCACCTCCTACCCATCCTTGCATTTCTTTCTGTGAGTTTCTCGGCTCCCAAATCCTCATTAACATATGTAATTTTTTTTTCTTTTTTTTTTTTTTTTTTGTGAATCTTGTCAATTAAAAAAAAAAAAAAAAAAAAAAAAAAAAAGATGGGTTGAATTTGAAAATGGTTTACGTTGTGTTTGGTTGAGAGATTTGAGAAATAATTTTGAAAGGAAAAAAGAAAAAGTATGTAAAATTATATAAAATATAGGTATATATTTTATTTATATTTTATTTATCTTTTCTTTTTTTCTTTCTAAATTCCTTCGTAAATCTCCCAACCAAACATAGTATTAGAGTTTTTTGAAAATGACTTAAAGTCGTTGCTAGATATGAAATTTTACAGTTAGCAATTTGAGGAGCATTCTTGAAAAATAGAAAAAGCGTGAGGAAGTTTCATCTTCTGTGTTGTGTGCTTTTAATATTGAATAGATATATGTTCTTGTATGTGTATATCTATTTTGGATAAATTACATTGGTACTTCTTATAGTTTATCTTTTGTGTCAATTTAGGTGTTGTAGTTTTAATTTTATTAATTTTACTTTTGAATTTTTTATATTATATCAATTTAATCTAATTAATAACGCTTTTAACAAATTGGACTAAAATCAAATAGAAAAAATTATCCATTCACACTCCTCAAGTGAATGAGGAGTTTGTGTCCAATTTGAAATGATCTATTCTCTTTTAAATGGACCATTATGCCTTTTATTTTTGTCCAATTTCTTATTAAATGTTATTAATTTAAACTAAACTAACACAAATATGAAAAATTAAAAAGCAAAATTAATACAATTTAATCTATATGAACTAATTGATATAAGAGGCAAATTACAGAAACTATGAATATAATTTGTCCTTGTATTTATGTCCTCAACAAATGTTGTTTAACTTTTCTTTACTTTAGTTTTTATGTTTTTGAAAACAAAAAATAATGAAAAGTTCGAAAACATTCATCATTCATATCGTTCCCATTTTTGTATAAAAATAAAGAAAAATTAGTGAAACATCTCTCTCCAACTTTGAGATCCAACATGTTTTTTTTATTAATTAAGGTCCCTTGATGAAATTTCTCTGGTATAGAAATTTTTCTGAGTCAGGCGAAATTTCTCTAAGCCGAATTTTCTCTGTGAAAATGTTGAGGGACCTTAACTACTATGAAAATATTGTATACTCTTTATCTTATAAAATCTTAATATCATGGATCTTAAAAAAAAATTCCCTGAAAATAATTTATGAAAATTTGAAAATAATTTTTTTATTGCTTCCAAAAAACAATTATTTTATATTAAAAAATCATTAAAATAGTCTTCAAAAAATAATTCACCTAATAAATAAGTATTTATATAAGTTAATGCAATTTTTTTGGTATTCAAATTGAGAAATTAATTAATGAGATTTTTATTTTTTTATAGTTGACGTTGGTGACAAGTCATGCAACTCCATCTCCTGAAGCATACTGGAACTCGGTTTTGCCAAACTCTCCCATACCTAAGGCTGTCAAGGATCTTTTACACACTGGTTAGTCTTCCACTCTAGGCAGGAATGATTTAAGATTTATTGATATCTTAGATTAAATATTAAAATGAGATTTTATTTTACTAAAGTCTTTGTAAAAATGAAGGTCAAAATTATATATATATGTATATATATATATATATATATTCTCTCTAGAAGCCTTGGACTAGCGTTAAGTGGCCTAATTAATGTTGAGCCGGCTATAGACTCCTTTCCTCTTGGTCATTTTATTTTTTTATTTTGATTTTTTATTTTTTTAACTTGGTAACTTTCAACACTATTTGCTTCCATGTAAAACAATGAGAAATTGTGACGGAGGCAGTGAGTCAAGAGCCTCTCCTTGCAAGTTTGTGCTTGCGTCCGTCTTTGCAGGCCTTCGGATCTACTTTTAGGCTTAATTTTGATAATCCGAACCGTTTATATTTTATGATTTATTCAGTATATTATACCTGTAAAAAATCAAGTTGATCGGATATCAGAAAGTATGTGTTTGAAAAATTGAACTAAACACTATTTTTTAAAGAATTTAATAAACAGTTTTCCGAACATATGCTTTATGATATCCGATCAACTTGATTTTTTACAGGTATGATATACTGAATAAATCATAAAATATGAACGGTTCGGATTATCAAAATTGGGCCTAAAAGTAGACCCGAAGGCCTGCAAGGACGGGCGCAAGCACGGAAGCTGCAAAGAGAGGATCCTCACTCGATTATAAGAACCTTTATTTATCAATAAGAGAAATAAAAACGTACAAACTTAAAAGATTCACAAACAGCGCTCAAAACAAGTTAAGTCAAGCCTGACTTTAATACCGTCAAACTATAACAGTAAAGAGTTAGACCATCTCCAACGTTGCATCAGACTCACAATCAAATTTGAATTTGATGAAAAAAACCATCTTTTTCCTCTCCAATGGTTTCACCAAACTGATATCAAATTGAGAATGAAGCAAAAATTTCATCAAACTAAGAATACGTGTAACGTTTCACCATTTTACTGTGCAGGAACGTTGGAGGTGGGGCCACCGGTTGACTGGCTTTTTTCAAATAAGTAGGTTCAAACAGGGTCCAAAAGGTCCAAACAGGTTAAAAAAAAAATTTTCTTCCCCTTACCGGTCGACCGGCCGGTCGTCCCACCGATTGTCCCCAGCTAGTATTATTTTGATGCCACCGTTGGAGGAGGTAATACCAAATTGAGAAAATCACCCTTTTTCTCATCAGATTTAATAAAAAAAAAGGTTTACCGGAGATGCTCTTAGCGATTCAAAAATTAATGAGCATGAGTCTTGCACCCCAGTAGCTGGTAGTGAAATTTGGACCCTTAACCTCTTGTCTACTAAAGAGTCACTCTTGCATCTTGACCACCAAATCATCACCTATTTTTTATTTTTTTATTTTTTGATAAACATGATAAATTGAATATGTTATGATTATCGAATCGATCTAATATTTTATATAGATAAAATATCTATCAAAATAAACGAATTCAGATCATTAAAATAGAACTCAAACAACGGCATGGACTGATGGAACTGCCTCCGAGTGAGGATCCTCTCCTTGCAGCTTCCGTGCTTGCGCCCGTCCTTGCAGGCCTTCGGGTCTACTTTTAGGCCCAATTTTGATAATCCGAACCGTTCATATTTTGACTCCTTATAATCACACTAAAAGAGAATTAATTGTCAGGCATTGATTTCTCCACTAACTTTTTTACTCAAACAAAAGGTAGAGAATCATTATTTGAACGGTGATTGGGCAAAGTTAATTTCATCTCAATTTTTACCTAAATCACAAGAAAAAAAATATATAAATAAATTGAAAAACATATGAGCCACTACCTTCTCTTTCTCCACTCCATCCTCCAATCCTCACAACTTGTTTCTCCACTAGAGAAGTATGTAATGACATCGACGACAATTAATTAAATGACACTACTAAATAAATTTTTTTGACCAAACCACTGCCAACAACCCATCATTTAAATCATGGAGAGAACAAAGAGGTAGGAAAGAGATGAGAGAAATAGACACATAGTGGAGAGAGAACATCACAAACCTCATTCTTAATTTTATCTTCTTAATTTGTCGATGCAGGGAAAGGAAAGCCCGTCTATGGCGGCGTAAGCAGAGCTATCCAATCCAATTACGGTTTCAGTGCTACTGCGGATCAACTCCATTATAATCCCAACATCGTTATTTTCTTCTTGGAAAATGACTTGAAAAAATACACAAAAATGACGTTGCGCTTCACTAGAATCACCACATCAACTATTTTCTTGCCACGCCAGGTTGCCGAGAAAATACCCTTTTCATCCAAGAAAATGCCACAAATTCTTGACTACTTCTCGGTGAAACCCAACTCCATGGAAGCCAAGGCAATCAAGCAAACAATCAAAGAATGCGAAGAGCCTGGAGTCGAAGGAGAAGAGAAATATTGCGCGACTTCACTAGAGTCCATGATCGATTTCTGCCGTTACAGGCTTGGGAAAAGTATCCAAGCAATCTCCACAGAAGTCAAAAAAGAAACCCCTTTGCAAACATACACTATTGAAGGAGTCAAGAAGATGGCAAGCGATGCAGCCGTAGTGTGCCATAGGCAAGACTACGCGTACACGGTGTTTTTATGCCACACGACACAAACCACAATAAAGGCGTACAAGGTTTCAATGGTAGGCGTCAATGGAACGAAAGCAGAAGCAGTTGCAGTGTGCCATACCAACACATCGCATTGGAATCCGAAACACTTGGCCTTTCAAGTGCTCAAGGTCAAGGTCAAGCCAGGGACTGTTCCAATTTGCCATTTCCTTCCTGAGGATCATATAGTTTGGGTTCATAACTAAGATTGATCTTTGCAAAAAAGAGTCATCACTACTTGTTTAATTAGTTTTTTATATGTTTGTTTTGCTTGTTTGGTTTGGATTGTCATCATAATCTGAAAAACTCTACTCAGACTCAGATATATATGTCGTCTTTACATATATGTATGCACTATAACAACTCTCCCACCCACATATGCATATGCATATGAGCTTGACATAAAGGTGGCTTGTTTTTCAGTAATAATAGATATGTTGTCCTTGGTGTTTAGCACTACTTAAAACTACTCCAAAATGTTATACAATACCAGAAAAATGCTATATCTTGATAATTATTCTGAAATTGAGGTTTGTACAGCATATTTAAAGTTGGTATGACATGAGTTATATATGTGACAATAAATGTAGCCCATTGATATAAATTTTTGGATACCTTTTTGGAATTTTTTTTTTTTTTTTTTTTTTTTTTTTGAGTATGTAGCATTATCATGCTTAATTGCTAATAATTATCAGTAGCTTATATTTGGGGGATTCTATTTGAACCCAAAATATGTCTCAGTACGCCCAATTTAAATTTATAAATTTTAATTCTTATTATATCTTAATATGAATTTACTAATAAGGACAACACATATTAAACCCTAAAATAATTTTTTTTTTCTCCTAGTACACCCTAGTCAGTTATTTTTATTCAGATCTATGTATCTTCTTCTTTTTCTTCTTCCTCCTCCTTCCTCCAAAACTCACCATCATCATCAACATCATTGTTTTTAATTATTTTAAAACCCTAAACCTTAGAAGAAAGTTTGAACACAATTAAATAATAGATAAGAGTAATAATCAAAATGGTTTTTTGAACATCAACGATTATTCTTGTGAATAATTATAATGTAAAAGTTTTTTTCTATATTGAAAAGTTTTATAATACTTATGTAAAAGTTTGATTTTTTCTGTATTTATAATACTTATATGCTTATAAGTTTGTTTTTTTTTTCTGTATTTGAGAATTATTTTATGTATTGAAAAGTTTTCAAAATAATTTAATTTTTTAAGTTTGTTTATTATTTATTATTTATTATTTATTATTTGGGTTTACCTTGAGGGTAATTTAGGAAAAATAATAGGGTGAAATGAGAGTAAAATAAAATTTTAAATAATTAAAGAGGATGTGTAGACGTCCCCGAACGTCCCGGGAGGGAAATCCCGTTCTGTTCATATGGGCTCACTACAGTTCAGGACTCAAATGTCACGGTCCTGTATCTAATCTCGCAGAGTGCAATGCAAGACTGATAAATCATCAAAGAGTCCAAATCCGGCAAATCGTTTTTGAAAGCAGATTTTTTTGAAAGAAGTGCCAAACATGGACTGTTTTGCTAGATACAGAGTTGCCACCTAAATATTTTATTTTTTAAGAATTTAGGAAACCCTGACTCGTGCCTAAGGCCACGTGTCCGTCATCACCAAAGTTGCCTCGGCTCGGGAACTTGGGTACGATTGGGGAAGGTCACTTCATGAGCACCCCCGCTCGCCCGATCAAAGATCGGCCTTTACTAACCATGATATCTAGTTTTGAAAATATTATGCGTTCTTATTCCGGTTATTAGCCTAGATTTACTATGTGATGCACACAGTATACAAGTATAGACTGGATCGCCTGAATTGGAACAAAACATTTCATTTTTTTTTAAAGCGGTTTGCTACTCGCAAGTAGGCTAAAAATGCAGATTTTGCTACCCTCGGGTAGGCTTAGAAAAGATGGTTTTGCCACTAGCTAGTGGGCTTGAAACTCACTGTCAATGCATTATTCTAATTCAGATAATCCAACCTTCACCCACAAGCATTTAGGCAGGTATATCACATAAGCAAATAGCCTTATGGTAAGCATGCTATCATGGCAGTCACTCACACGCATGCAAAGATGCTAAAGCATAAAACTTACCGAGTACTCCAAGCCAAAACAAAAGCTATGTTAGAAATCCATGCATGATCTTAACTATACAGAAATGCCTAATGCAACACATGCAAAGATGCAACTACAATAGGCTCGGCTATTCTAAGAATGGCATATGAGATGCTACAGCTAACACATATTCGACTTGGAATTGAAATACGATGCAGTTAGTATGATGCGCCAAGTCCGGTGCATGCAAGACAGATGAATGATGCAAACATGCAAGCATAAGTATGCTAATTGAAACATGCCCTAATCTAACCATCATAAGCTAGTAAATAAAAGGGAGAAAGACGCGGGGTTGGAAGACATGCATCACACACACGCACACTTATTACAACATTGCCCTCGCTCGGAGGGTCCAAATAAATAATACAGTCTGAATAAATAACTACAGTCCTAATGAATGATTAATTATTACAAAACCCTAATTAATTGACAAATTAACTAGGAAAGCAAATGAACTAGCATGCAAATTCATGGACCGCCTCAGCTCTGTTCCGAATGATGAAAGATGCATGCTCGAGTTGCCTTGCGCAGAAATCCATTGCGATGCCCCGATTCGCCTCTGTTTGCAATTAATCCCGGAATGCTGTGCAAGGCTTTAGAAAGTTGCTGATTTCTGATTTGCTACAACAGAGAGCAAAAAATGGGCATGGCAAAGTATTTTCACATATATATGCACACCTCGATCCTCATGCCACCAATCACGCATCTCGATGCATGATGGTCGAGGAGTCGAATTGCACGACTCAATGTGAAATGAATGCACATATAAACACAACAAGGCCTAGACTCCATCGTGGTTAATCCGGAGTGTCGGAGACCGGGAATTGAGACACGTTCCGTCACTTGGAGTACGAAACGTCCCTCGTTTCCTGTGCTCGGGCTAACTCCTATCCCAAACACAATGCAAATGAGAATGAGATGGCATACACAATGCGACTAACATGTAACCTAACATGTAACCTAACGTGATGTAACATGGCATACACAATGCTCTAACATGCAACCTAGCATACGCAATGCTATGGACTAAAATGGCATACACGATGTATGATGTATATAGAAATGGGACAATCGAAACACATACAAACATGCACGATGCAAGGGATCGATCCTAAGGCATCAAATGCCACTCTACCAAAGCATGGAAAATGATGCAATATGGCATACAAACACACAAATTCCAGCTCTGAAACATGATACAAAATGGTCCCGAAACATGCAAACATGGCACACAATGCAAGCTAGGGGGCCCGGGTACCGAAACTAGTGAAGTGCGTTACACTAGAGGTACCCAAAGTAATGCACTAATGGAAAAACCAACCCCAGACAGACCCTAGGCAGGTCTGAAATAGTGGGAAAATGACCTAAAATGATGGCTCGGAATGCAACGAAATGGAGCTCATTCAATGGTCGGTAAATGAGACATACAAGCCCAACTCTCAAACGCATTTAAAGAGTATAAAACATGACAATATGGCATTCAAACAAGCTCTAAAATATGATGTATAATGGCCCCAAAACAAGGAAATACCTCAGTATATGCATGTAATAGACCCCGAAACTCAAAGCTAAGCAAGTCTCTTGAACCACAAGCATGCAAAACAAACACCATTCGACCATGAGACCCAAAAACAGAGCTAAAGCAGTCCAAAATATGCCTAAGATCAGTTTAAGGCATGGCTAAAAAGTGCTAACATGAAGGGCAAAAACAACATGCAACATAGGCTAGTAAGCATAGTTTTCACTACATGTAAATGAAGCACAAGAGAGGTCACCAAACCAGCCAAAACAGAAACATGGCATGTCAAATAAATCCCAAAAAACCCATGTAAACTCAGTTAACACATGCTAGAATGAGGTGCTCCTTTGAGAGGCCAATAAGAGAGTTGTTCAACACATACAAAATGGACATGCAACATGGCAAAACCACATCTGAAAATCAGTTATGAGTGTCCTAAAACTCACCAAAAAGGCCCTGAAATGGGTCAATGAAAGGTTCCTTTGAAAGGCCTTGAAGAGGGTTGTTCCATACATGCATGAGGGACACAAAATATGGCCAAATGGGCTTTGGACAGAGCTAAGGTAGACCTTAAAACTCACCAAATAGGGCCTGAAATATGACTTCACAACATGCAAGTAGGGGCCCCTTTGGAGGGCCAAAAGAGCCAACAATCAAGACAATGAGAGAGGGGGTCACCCCCTCTGATTTTGGCTCTCAAAACAGTGTGATAGCCACTGAAAATCCATTGGATTTCAGTGGCTAGAAGGCCAAACAAAGCATGAAACAAAGGCCTAGATGCAAGGCTCAAAACAAGATGCAAACAAGCATACAAGGGGGTAGATGACCCCCAAAAGAAAAATACCCTTAATCAAACTTCAAGAGGGGCTCAAAACAAGACTCTTTTTAGTTTATGAAAACTCTCGAAAATGCTTGCAAGCAAGGCTAAGATAGGAAGCAAAATAAGCCTACAAAGAGAGATGGAGCATACAAGGAGGTAGATGACCTCAAACAGAAAAGTGTCCTTAATCAAACTTCAAGAGGAGCTCAAAATAAGACACTTTTTAGTTTAAGATGAAACACAGAAATGCTTTCAAATAAGGCTAAAGAATGAAGCAAGATAATGCAAAAATGGGAGAAATAGAGACTTACCCTTGTAGAGAAGACCTCCAGCAACTTTTGGACCAAGATGGTGAGCCTTCAACCTCTACAAATCAGTTCCAAGATGTTTGGAAGGATGATGGAGGTGTTGTGCTAAGGGTTGGTGTGCAAATGGCCAAGAATGATGGAGTTTAGAGCTTGGGATGGAGAGATATGGAGAGCTGTATGCAAAGTGCCTTAACCAAATTCTTCAACCCTTGCAAATGGAGAGGAGGGTTTGTTTTATAGAGGGAGAGGGCCAAGGCTTCTTGGTCTCTTACAGAAAACAAAGGGTCAAGGCTTCTTGGAGAAGCCTCAAGTAAAGGGTACAAGCTTCTAAAAGAAGCTAACCAAAAGGGTCAAGCTTCTTCTAGAAGCTAAGCAAAAAGGGCCAAAGATTCCTTAAGAAGACAAACAAGAAGGTCAAAATCTCGGAGGATGGGTCAAATGCTTCACAGCTGGCACAGCTGTGTTGCACTCAAGAAGGCCAAAAAGTAGAAGGCTGGCGAACCAGCCAAGGTGGTCGGCCGACCACTCCCCCTGGTCGGCCGACCAGGGGTCAAAAGGGTCAAGGTGAAATGCTGGTCGGCCATACTAGAAAGGTGGCCTCCTAGATGAGTACAACACAGCTGTATTGTGGGAGACCAGAAATAGTGGCCTAAGAGAGAGGAAAACCAGCTTTCTAGCAA